ATTGAGATGCATAATTTTTATTAATATAACCAAAGTTTTTTAAAGGTTTTGAGTGAATTTATGTTTAAAACAAACACAACTTGCATTTTCGAGAATGTTACGATCAAAAATAGCCAATCAGCAGCGAGCTTTGGCTGACCAATCAAAATGCACAGAGGCTAAATCTATGAGCCAATCAATGTTGTCATACTCTCTGACTATAAATAGGCATGAAAAGCATTGAGAAATTTAATTTAGCTCTGGCTGCGGGCAAGGTTGAAGGCCTTTGCTTTCACCAGTACTGAGCAGCGGCATTGCATCATTGTGCTTCATGAAGAGGGTTGTACAGAAGTAGCCTGTACAGAAGTAGCCAAGAGAGTGAAATGCCATTGTACCACAGTGATCAGAGTGGTTGAAAAATACTAAATAACTGTTGATGACAGGGTCCGCTTGGGAAGACCAAGAAAGTCGACAAAATGGCAAGATCGGGCTCTGCAACGCATTTCGATGGCTGACAGAAAGTTCACCTCACCTCAGATTACAAGAATTTGGGTTGAAACATGATGTAAAAGTGTGCGCAAGCACAGTGTGTTGCAGACTGCTTGCCAGAGGGCTCAGAGGCTGCAGGGCTCCAAGTAAACTTTTGCTCACAGACCTCACCGCTCTCATCAACGTGCGTGGGCCAAGAAGTATGCCAAGTGGATCAACGAACAGTGGGTTGAGGTCATCTTCAGTGACGAGAACAATTTCTACTTGACTGGGAATCAGTGCAATAAGTATGTCAGAAGATTTCCACCTGAAGAATTTAGGCCATACTGGCTGAATCTATCTGTGAAGCATCCATTGCACGTGATGATCTGGGGCTGAATCGCTGCTTCTAGTATTGGTTGGATACAAATCATGCAGAGAATCATGAATTCCAAGCAGTATGTTGAAGTCCTGGGAAAGACCATGCTTCCTTCAGCTCAGCAACTGGTAGGGAAGGACTTTTACTTCCAGGATGACAACACTCCTTATCATCAAGCCAAGTCTGTCCAGCAGTGAATGAAGAAGCATGGTATTCGACTCCCAGATTGGCCAGCTCATAGCCCGGATTTGAACCCAGTTGAGAACTGGTGGGCCAAAATTGGTTACGATATAAGCAAGAAGCATCCGAAGACCAACTGATTGAATCAATTATTGCAGCCTGGCACCACATTGTCACCAAGATCACATGCCACTTGGTGTTAAGCAATAAGGGCTGGCCAATTTTATATTAGTAACCATGTTTGGTTGTCTAAACGGTCCTTTTCAGGGCCACAAACAATAAAAATGTTAACAAAACACTAGCATCAGCCTTAGTAATTGCAACACGTATGCCACTGGGTATGCATCAGTTAATCTGTTTTCATAGTCATTGTAAGCATGCAAGAAAATTCACAGTCCCCATCCAAACAGTACCAAATTGTAAAATACTTATGCTTTTCACTTAAAAATGACCAATATTTCTTGAAATATAACAATATTTGCATAGCAGTTAGCATAAAATATCATAAAATCTATGGCCTATCCAAAAATGTCATAAACCGTAAAGCGTGCAGGACTTTTTCGCACAGCTGTATATACAGTACCCACTCGTACTGCTGTCTAGATGCTACCAGTAAATTACTTTAAGCCTTCTATAGTTGATGATTTTGGACACATGTATTCAACTAAAGAATATCTTCACAGTATCTTTCTGAAAAATGTAGCCAAATCGATTGTTTTGTTGTTTTAGTATAATGTGACATGGCCTTGAACTTTTATAAAGAATTAGTGGTATCTTCATTGTGAGCTTGGATTTACACATTGTATTAATCCAATTTTTATTGATTATACCACAATTCGAATCAGAAAACAAGATCAAAGAAACCAAACTGTAAGTTAGTGCAATGCAAATTCTGGCCTCAATGTATTTCTACAAGTGAAAGATCACTTCATGGATTGATACAGCTTGTTTCCTAGGTTTAATTACTCTATAGCCAGATATAGATAACTCTCAGTTATCTGAGCCTGGTGTGGCCTGGGCCCATAACCAGTGTTGAGGTAATTCTCCGTTAGGAGAATGAGCGCATACAGGGAGATGTAGTGAGAGAAGTATTTGAATAATACACACACAGCACACAGATACACTGTACAGTAAATGTAGGTTTTTTACTTTCAATAAAGGTTTAAGCAAAGTTCAAATACAGTCCAAAGTCATTCACAGGTAAAGCAGTCAGTTTTCAATCCAGGGATAATCCAATAACAAAGTCCAGTGTCAAAAACAGTTCAGTATCAGACTTACATCAAATCCAAGAATATCAGTCAATTACGAAGAACGGCAATACTCTCCAACCGAATGAAAAAGAGACTTACTCACACTCTCTTCTGAGACTAAGTCTAAAATTAAAACAACCCAGGTTTCTGGCTCCATCTTATGGCCGTTTGAAAAACCACACCTAATTAACTTTTAGCATTCCCTTAAAGAGACAGTATTAAAATGTCTATCCTGGCTTATATATTTCCAACCCAAATAGCTGTTAGGTAACCTACATTCCTAACATATATTATTCAATGAACCTTGGCTAATGACTGAGTGTTGTCAATTTCACAAATCAACAGCACAAAACTCTAGTTTCAAAATAATACTTTGTTAACAGAATGGACATAACAACCTGAGGCAGATCCAGAGAAAGGAAGACAGTGATCCAAAGAATGAACAACAATGATTTATTTTGCAACTTGCAAAACAAACTTACACAACAGGCTTGCAAAGTTCAGCAACCATGATTTTATCATCCTGGGTTGTCACAGAGGGTTTAAAAAACTAGGACAGCATACCTGTACTTTGGAGTGTTCAATATATTCTTTTTGTACAATATATATCAGTGAAGAACAGTCCTTTATTGTCTTGTTGCTAATGGCACTATCACAGGATTTGGAATGATATTCATCTTTTTACTCTTGGTTATTAATATGTGTCCTTTCTCAATTAAATAATGATGTTTGTTTTGGCATTTGGATCAGCGACCAAACAATTGCTAGATCTAATATCAACTTCCCTTGGTTTGCTGAAACAAATATTACCCTGCACTTCTTTTACATTTAGTCTAAGCAGCATACTTTTTTATTTATTCATATTTCTAAACTGCCCACCTTCTTTTATCTGACATAAGCCACTTTGTTTTCTCTTCTCCCCCACCCCAAATCTTTTCCCCAAAATATAACTTTTGTTCCCTTCCCTCTTACTCTCTCTTATACATACATTACATGGTGTTTTAAGATTTTTGAGTGTTGAGTAATCTGGTATACTGGCAGCAGACTTTTTAATTGCACTGCCAGCCAGAAAGGGAAAGAAAAAAGATTTGGCAGCTTGTCTCAGGGTCCAACTATTTGTTTTGCTTCACACACTTCCTTCCTACCCAGACCATTCTGAATCTCTACCATGCAGACTCCTTGGAGGCTAGTAAACTTAGTCATGTAGCTGTGTGAATTTTTACTGCCTCCAAATAAGCACTGTAACATCTGGGCTGCAGAAATTGAGACAACCATTAATGGCAGCAAAGAGATTTAAAAAAAATCTGTTACTCTCTAGTGGCCATCCAGATGTTCGTAACCCAGGTATGATAGCCTTGCTCCAAGGCCCATCACATGAGCTGTCAGCAAAGTAGATCAAGGTTAGAGCAGGAAAAAAAGGTGAACAAAAGAATGAATAGAGTGCAAAGTTTTTAAAATCCAGATGATTTGGCAAAATTCCAGATATCTGGCCACCCTTATCCACTGAGCTGTCTTCGTATATTTTTGTTTTACATTTCTATGACAAGATGTTTTAATTATGCTTGCATTACATATTTTATTGTATACCACCCAGAATCCCTCTGCAAGGAAGATGGGCAGTTCTTAAATATGATAGCTAGACATACAAACAGACACAGACAGACAACCTGGAAGCAAGCTCTATTAGGGCTTAGTGGCATTCTGACTGCCATCATTCGGTACTGCTGTATGCCTGAGTATAGAATAAAACTTGACATAACTTAAAATTCAGTGGTTGATTTCTGTTGGCAATTTGCTATTTGAACATCCAAACAGTGGAGATTTCTAGTTAAGTACGCACATTTGAGTTTCTAATTGCAACTGTGCATAGTGCCTGGAGGGATAACATAGTAGTGTGTTCATTGTTCGAGCTTTCCCCTTAGTGCCTCAGTAGGGCTACGCAAAGCTTAAAATTAACTTGGGAAAAAGGCTTTGGAATGTGCAAGATTACAAGTGCAGCATCTGTTTCTGAATGAGCCACTTCTGAAGCTTCCCTTGCAACCCTGGAAATAGAACAGTTTGGGGCAGGACGAAAGCACACGAACGCATGTATGTAGCAGTCAAGAGTTCCTTGGTCCACCATGACTGACTGACGTGACTGATTTTCAGTTCAGAGAACCATATCTATGACTGCCTATTATTATTTTCTTTCTGTACCTCAGTGTTAAGTTTTCATAGTGCACATTATAAGTAATCAACCTAAATATTTAACATTAATCTAGAAACCAAGAAAACTAACTTTTTAAACAATCCAGATCTTTCACTTTCCGTTTTATTGTCACAACGAAAGCCTCCTTTTAACTTGGATTAACAAACTGTCATAATCGTCATATGTCAAAGCTGTAAGTATTTCGGGCTCCAATTCTGATTCCACCTCTCTCATTCCTCCCACTCCAATCTCGAAGTTTTTCTATTCACTGGGCTGTACAAGCTTCATCCTAAGAAAAACTACGTTTCCCATAAGGTCTTGCTCGAGTGTCCAGTCTTAAAGAAGCCCCCACAGCAAACCGGATATGCCTCACACATTAATGCCTGATTAGGAAAACGAATGATTTTCTCTGCCTGCCAAAATACTTCAGTATGGGCTGAACAAGAAGCCTAGCTCCTTTTCTGCCTTGGCGGAGTGGAGGTGTTAATCCCAGCGGAGTTCCGATTTAACAAAATTAACGGTTGCTATTCAGGGGTCGGATTAGACACCCCGAGAGCGATGGGAGGGCGGACGATTGAGGTCCTGAGAGGTGCGGAGACCGAATTGGAGCGAGGGAATTAAGCGCCGAGTCTCCGTTGAACGCGCGACAGCCGTTGGGCGCGCGTGCCGGTTGCCGAGGTCGAGTCTGACAGACGCTCAGTTGCTGTCTCGGGATTAAAGCGCGGACAAGATGAGCAGCAAAGAAGGTGGCGGTGGGTCAGGGGGAGGCGAGAGCCCCTCGTCCGAGGAGCAAAATGCAAGGGGCGCGGGGAAGGCCAGGGGCTGCCTTTCCACGCCTGCTGCCGTTCCCGGGCCCTTTATTTTTAAAAAACTGGGTTCTTCCTTCCATTGCTTCTTTTCAAATGCAGGCAGTCCCCGACTTACGGCCACAATTTGAGCCCGACATTTCTGTTGCTAAGTGGGACATTGGGTGAAGTGAGTTTTGCCTCATTGGACGACCTTTCCTGCCCCCGTGGTTAAGTGAATCGCTGCAGTCGATAACTTAGTAACCTGGTTGTTAAGCGAACCGGGCTTCCCCCCTTTGAGTTTGCAGGCCAGAACGTTGGAAAAGGTGACCTTGGAACACAGCAACGGTCATTAAACATGAACCAGTTGCCAAGTGTCTGAATTTTGATCACAGGATCATGGGGATGCTTCAAATGTCATAACTGCGAAAAACGGTCACAAGTCACTTTTTTTCAGTGTCACTGTAACTTTGAAGAGTCACTAAATGAACTGTTGTAAGTCGAGGACTACCTGTAATAGAATAACAGTTGGCAGGGAGGTCTTCTAGTCCAATTCCCATCTCAAGCAGGAGTCCCCATACCATTCCGAACAAATGTCTGTCCAATATCTTCTTAAATATTAAAAAAAGACCTCCAGTATTGGACCACCCACAATTTCTGGAGGCAAGTTGTTGCACCGATCAATTGTTGTCAGTATCAGGAAGTTTCTCTTTAATTCTAGGTTGGATCTTTGATAACTTTCCATCTGTTTCTTCTTGTCCTGCCCTCAGATACTTTGGAGAAGAGGTTGCCCCTCCTCTTGTTTATGGCAGCCCCTCCGATATTGGAAAACTGCTATCATGTCACCCCTAGTCCTTCTCTTTGTTAGTCTAGACATCCCCAGTTCTTGCAACCTTTCATCACACATTTTGGCCTCCAGACTCCTTATCATCTTCATTGCTCTTCTCTGTACTCTTTCCAAAGTCTCAACATCTTTCCTCTGCTAACCAGAACTAGACACAATATTCCAAGTGTGGTCTTACAAGGCGGTATATAGTGATATTAACACTTCACATGATCTTGATACTATTACTCTGTTGATGCAGCGTATGAGTACATTGACCTTTTTTTTTTGCCAGCTAAGTACAATGGTGGCTCATATTTAAGTGGTTGTCCACTAGGACTCCTAAATCCCTTTTGCAGTTACAGTTGAGCTAAGTACCACCTATTCCCGTGATGGCGAACCCATGGCATACGTGCCAGAAGCGGCACTCAGAGCCATCTCTGCCAGCACGCGAGCTGTTGCCCCAGCTCAGTTCCACTGTGCATGCATGCGCGCCTCCTGCCAGCCAGCTGATTTTCGGGTATCTGCTGCAAAAAGCGCAGGGGGGGCAGGGCACATGTGCAGGGGGAGTGCGGGGGCAGGGTTCATGCGGGGGTTCATGCATGCATTGCATTATGGGTGCAGGCATTCATGCATGTGCACGCATGTACTTACAGCACATGATGACAGAAAGATTAGCCATCACTGACCTATTCTATACCTGTGCGTTTGGTTTTTCTTGCCTCGGTGTAAAACCTTTCTTTTCTTGCCATTGAATTACATTTTGTTGGATAGAGCCAAGTGTTCGAGTCTGTTTTTCTGAATCTTTTGAGTCTATCTTCTAAAGTGTTGGCTATTCTCCCTAGCTTGGTGTCGTCTGCAAATTTCATGAGTTCCCCTTCTATCCCCTCATCTAATTAATTCATGAAGACAATATAATAGTAGCAGTGTTATAATATCTAAGGGGCTGCCATAAAAGAAGGGAGAGGTCAACCTATTTTCCAAAGCACCCGAAGGCAGGACAAGAAGCAATGGGTGGAAACTAATCAAGGAGAGAACCAACGTAGAACTAAGGAAAAATTTCCTGACAGAACAATTAATTTAACAACTTGCCTCCAGAAGTTGTGGTTGCTCCAACACTGGAAGTTTTTAAGAAAAGGTTGGACAACCATTTGTCTGAAATAGTAAAGGGTTCTGTTATGTTGAAGAGTACTGGGTCTAAGAAGAACCTTGGGATACCCCACCACATACTTTCCTCCATGTGTATGTAGTTCCATTATGGGCTACATGTTGAGTGCAGTTTGCCAGCCAGTTACAGATCCATCTGATGGTGATGCTATCTATCTCACATTTCTTATTTTACCAAGAAGTAGGTTGTAGTCTATTTTGTCATATGCCTCTCTGGACTCCAAGTATATGATGTCCACAGCATTTTGCTGGTCCACTAATTTAGCCACTGTGTCAAAAACTGCAATAAGTTTTGTTTGGCACAGTCTGTTTTTGACAAACTCATATTGGCTTCTAATAATAGATTTGCTTTCTTCTGGGTGTTTGCAACTCTATTGTTTGATTACCTATCCTATATACTGGTATTCTGCCTTAGTTATGTGTCCCACTTTCCATTTTTTATACTTGCCCTTTTTATCTTTCAGTTTAACCTTGCTACATTTTCTTGCCTTCTGTAATCCTATTCTTGTTCTTCCTAATTTTTGTTTCTTGTATTTAATCCCCAGAATAGAGTCTAGGCATCAGTAACAAGGGAAAAAAGCTTGTTGACCTTAAAATGAACACAACCAAATTTCCAAAGGTTGCTTTTTGGCAGGAAGCTCTTGTGCCTATAACAAGTATGATGAAACACATCATGTAATGAAAGAGGCAAAAACCCACCATCTGAAATATTCTGTTTATATGTTTGATCCAGGAGTTCACATGTCAGAGCATAGCATTGGTTTTGTTGCTTTTTATTTACACATAAAGCATAGGGCAAGATTGGGCAATTTGTACTTTCCCAGAAAGCAGATTTTAACAATTCTGTTTTAATGGCCATTTCACATGGAACATGTAAAAGCACACATTGTCCATGAAAGTAGGAAAACATTAAATGCAATTAATATTATATTACTTTTATGCTGGTTCAATCAATTGAATGTAATAAATTTAAAAACTGTTAACTGACCTTTTGAAACAATCAAAACCAGCTGATTCTATGTTCCCCCATTCTATTGAATGATAAATTATATATGTTATATATGAAATGCCATTGCCTTGTAGCTCTCATCTAAAAATACCATGTAGTTTCCATATCAGTAGACTAAATCCAGTATTCTGTAAAAAATGGTGAATGGAATTGCGGACAGTTTTCTAGTTTCCCAAATGCCCATAATATGGGCATTTCAGCTATGAAAAGTTGTGAACATTTTTTGAGAACTACATTATAATTTGATAATACTTTTTTCAATCTTACACAAACAGGTGGCTTCAGAAAAAGGAAACATGACAGTTTCCCACATGGTCATAGGAGGGAAGAGAAAGATAACATCAATTTTTCTTCATCCATAATGACATCCTTCAAGAGTAAGTAATTTTAGAGACCTTAATTGTGGCTCATATACTTGTATGTGAAATGATCGTATATGTGATACAATTCCTCTTAAGCTATGATAGAACCATTCTGCACATTTCTATAACAGAGTACTGTGATTTGCAGGCATGATTACAGATGGTTTCTGAGAATTGATTGCTTCATATTGTAAGTGATTACTTCCATAAAAATGGAGAATTGCACTACTTTTTTCTTTGATGTGTGAATTGGATATGATTCCTTAAAGGTTTAAGTCAGAATTTTTGCAGAATGAATGAAGTTTATTGACTATTTAGCAGACTGTTAACATTCTAAGCAGTTAAGCTGTATTTAAACAAAGGTTAAACGCTATTTTAATAGCTTTATGAGTTTCTCAGAACACATGAAATCTGTTTTTGTACAGCTGTATATTTTGTAGAGTTTGCATGTTCATATCTGTATTTCTAATATTTATTGACATTCATTTTCAGTGTTTCAGCTGGAACTTGATACAAGACATGATAAATATGAAAGGCTTGTGAAACTTAGTCGTGACATAACTATTGAAAGTAAGAGGACCATATTCCTACTTCACAGAATTACCAGGCAGGTATCTGTTTGTCTTTCACATTTCCTAATATATACCTTTTGCTTTGGTCAGATATGCAAAAGCAAAGGAATCCTGTAATAAGTAACATAAAACAAAGAGTTAGGAATGAAGGGAAGAAATGTTTCTATGGTTTTTTTGAATATATATGAGGCCAACATATACTTTGAAGTTCTAGTGCTTATAATAGTGCTTGAAAAGGATGAATGTGATAACTTTTAAAGCAAAATACAAACAGATCTGTATATAGCATGCATCATTGCTTCTTTGCTGATGTTTTAACAGCAGTCACTTTTTAATTTGATTGTATTCTGTAATCACAGTGCTTCCAATGTAGAAGAAATACTAACAGAATCTGAAGTCAAATTAGATCTTGTGAGACAGAAGATAAAACAAGTGGCACAAGAATTGATGGGAGAGGATATGCATCAGTACCATAGAGCTATTTCTCCAGGTATGTGTGAGAAATAAAAAAAGCAAACAAAACTTTCAAAAGAGATTAATTCTGGATATTTTACCAGACTTGCTTTTATTACATTGGACAGCATATTGACAATACCTTTTGATTCTATCACCCAGGGATAATGTTGTTTTGATTCCATCAAGATATTTGCATATAGAAATTTATAACATTGATTTAGGGAGAGGCTTTGCATTGTACAGAAATCAGTTGCAATTGTTCTGGGCTAGCTAATTGATAGATTAACTTCTGTTATACCTATTTCTACTATAAGAATTCTACTATAAAATTCTACTTATTTTACGTTATATAATCAAAGATTAATCACCCCCCTCCCCCGAATATTTACTTAATTATTTAAAAGATGTATTTGTCTGCCATCTTGTAAACCACAACTCTGGGCAACTCATAACAATAAAAACTACAACAGTAATAAAAAACCCAAAGTTAATAAACCAGGCATCTGATCTACAATTTTTAGTCCAACAAACAATGAAATCCTTGGGCTCTATCTCAGTGCCTGTAGAAAAGGTTTTTTGGAAGTTTATGGTTTATGGTTTTTTTGGAAGCTAAATATGTGGAATTCTGCTAGATCCCAGACAGGAAGAGGCAGCTATGGAAAAGGGATGTTTCCTGAGTCCCACCAGATTTAACAGATGGACCCTGGAGTGTCCCCACACTATCTAGCCTAATAGAGTGGACAAATGGAAACAGGGTCAGCCCATTCCACAAATAATCTGGCCTCTTGTTAAATAGTTTTAAAAGTAATAAGCAAGAACTTGCATTACACCTGGAAAGAAATCAGAAACCCAAAGCCACTCCATCTTGCTAGGCTTGAGTTGGAGCTAGTTTTTTCTTATCCAGATTCTCACAGGACCTGCATCAACATTAAAATAATGCTACCTTGGGTAGAGAAAGGAAAATGGGTATCATCAGCATACTGTACCTCACCTAGCAGTTTTATATAGATGTTAAAGAGGAACACTGAGAGCCCTGAGGTACCCCGTATTGCAAGAACCTAGGGCTTGACTCTCTCCACCCCTAAACACTGACTGGAACAAAAGCCAAATAAATGATTTCTTCAATGTAAGAAATTTGGGATGCCTCAAGTGAGTGGGGAAGACCCTGGGAGTATTGGTGCAGGCTGCACATGAGTGCCTCTCTCTTAGGCTGAAAATCCTGAGAGTTGAATTCCTTGAATTTCAGCAGGGAGGATTTTCAGCTCCTGAGTGGGAAGCTTTCCAGGGAGCTTCTCCTCCAAGGCACCCTGCAATCCTTACCTGGGACTCTGTCCGCTTAATGATAGCCACTGGGAGTGCCAGGATTATGGTTGTTGAGCAAAGCAATGCTGGCATTATATGATATCTCATTTAATGACCACTTCATTGGATTCCGGTCCCAATTGTGATAGTTAAATGAGGACTATGTGCATAAAAAAGAAATACATAGACATTAAGAAGGTTCAACAATACTCACCTATTTAATGTTACAAAAGGAAACAGCTTCTAACAAATAAAAGCCAGGCCCACAATCCAGTTTGGTACAGAATTACTAATGAAATAGCAATTATTTCAGTTTGCTTTATATGTTTAATTTTGTAAAAGACCTATAGTAGATTAGAAATGGGTTCAGCCAATTTCAAAAAAATCTGGTCAAATTTTATTGAAGTACCAGGATTGCAAATTTTATACTTGATGGAAAATGGTATGGTTAGATGTTGTCGATTTATAGCTTCTCACATAATCTCTTACTAATTTAGTGATACTATTAAATGTTAGCCCTTTATAATGAAATTCTACAACATTCAATAAGCTCATCATCAGGAGAAGGGCACTTTTCCCAAATTAAACTCTGAATACTTCGGTGAGAAAGAATGCAATTATTTTAATTCTTAGAATTTTTACAAAATACTATTTCTTCAAATATTTTTGTAGGACTTGATGAATGGTTACTAATTTAGTAAGAGATAGTGTGAGAAGCTATATATTAAACAATGAATAGATTCAGAAATATGGAAATAACATCTCTATATAATCTTAATAATTCCACCCTGAACAAGATAATAGCATTCCACATAAATTCTTAGAAAAATAAATTTGGGAAAGCATACTAATTATCCAAACTACCAGAATTAAATGAGTGTGAAAGTTATTTCCTTTGGTAAGCAGTAGAGTGCTTAAAACAAGGAGTTTAAAGGTCACATTCTTAGGCAGTTTTTCAGGCCATAAACCATTAGTAGAATCATAGAAACTGACAGTGATTCAAGAAATTTGGAAGAATTTACCGCTTGGTGTTTCATATATAGCTTGAGCTCTAACATAAGAGGTTTTATCTAAATTGTAATCACAACTACATCAAATAATTCAGTATTGATGAATAAACCTCCAGAAGTTTAGGGACATAATTGATTTATACTTTAAAGTTTGTAGGTAGAGTTCAGACTGCAGCCTTTCAGAAGTCTCTGTGTGTACACTTATTACTGTGCATCTTACTGTGGATTTGAAGTCTAATACTGTAAAACAGGACTCATGAGAGAAAGGGTACCTGGAGAAAAGAGAAATAATATGCCAGATGTCAACTAGAAGTAGCCAAGGAAGACCATAAACAAAAAGGAATAAGTAGATCAATCTTTAGCTCTTCATTTTTAAAAAAATAACCAGATCACTAGAATTTTATAGGCTAGTGAGGTATAAAAGTAAAAGCCACAAATAAAAAATATAGTAGGACTTGTAAGATGAAGCTTCAAAATATTTTAAGATGAAAGAGATAGCAAAGGAATATACAGACATTTAAAAAATAAAGTTTGTGCTTTTAACATCTAGAACCGTGTAACTGCTGAAAGGAACTTGTTTTGCTACTAATAATAATTCAGCATGTGGTACCAGGTCCTAATTTAGTTTCTGGTTTTCTACCATAGCCCAATGAGCCCTTTATAGCTACTTCTTGATGAATAGCTTGCTTACTATCATATTTGGACATAAAACTATAAATCAGTCCTCAACCTTTCATTAGAGTTGCAACAAGTCATATAGCAGAAAGACAAGATTGCAATAAGATTATCATCAAAGTTTTCCAACCATGAATCTATGTTTTGAGGCATTCTTAAATACCAGTGTCTTTTGCAGGACTACCCATCTACTGTAAATGCAGGTGAAGCTAAGCAACTTTAATTTGCTAGGATCTGTCCTCTCAAAGTTTCAGCTGTTGTCAGGATCCTTTCCCTGTAAGTCGCTGTTGCTTTGGTAGCTGCTGGCTTTTTCCTTTCTTTCTGCATGTGTTTCTAATTTCAGGTCAGTGATCTGCATTGTGCTTGGGAATGGAAATGCCCACATTTGGTCTTTCAATACTGGTATTATGTTTAGTTCCTCAGGGTCTGAATCAGTGGTGGTATTCGACCGGTTCTGCCTGGTTCTGGAGCAATGAGCAGCAGAGACTGAACTGGTTCTCTCTGCTGCTCAGCTGGCTCTGCTGTTGGGCTCACCCGCCCGCCCAGGCTCCTCTACTCACCTTTATGCACTGAATTTGAAGCGCAGCTGCTTTGTGTGTCACAGAATAGTGCTGCACGGCAGCTGCTGAAGCAACTGGGATTGTGCAAGCTTGCAGGAAGCGAGTTAGAACGCCTCTGTGCAAAGTGCGTGTTTGGCACGCGCGTGCACACAAAGTGCCCACCAAGCCACGCCCGCCAAACCGGTGGCAACAATATTTGAATCCCACCACTGGTCTGAATTGTTAGGTTCATTACCTTGATCCTCTTTTGAGAAAGACCTTGTGTCGTGATGATGCTCTGGTTGCTTTCAGACATTTTAATTGCTTAGAAAAGACAAAGAGAATATGGAGAATCATATTACTAGACAAGGATAAAGATCTCATTGTGAACGGATAGTGATAGCCAAAGTTTAGTCTTCCACAGTGTTTGAGTGGAGAGAAAAAGACGTTAAATAAAAAGTATTAAAGAGATTCTTGATTTAAGCATTCATTTGTTTTAATGTTGCAATACAATTGTGTTTTAATACTTAGTTTCTGTGACTTGGGCTTGATTCCTGGTTCCTGTATGGATTGTTGTTCACTATTTTCTTATCTTTAGCCCGTATTTTTAAGTACTTGATTTTATTTCTTCCATCTTCAATAGCTCATTTGCAAAAATCTTTTAGTGCAAATGATCACTAGATAACAGCAAAGAATAACAATTTTTGTATGCTGTCTAATGGTTGTGTAGATGTATATAGCATATGTATGGCAGCCCAGTCAACACATAAAAGTGCCCGTGCATGCTTACAGAGTAGTATCCTTAAACAGGCATAAATACAATATTGTATAAAGTTCAAGATATTTCAAAATCATTTTATTCTGTTGCTTTTACATTTCCTGGAATGTTTTTTGCTGGAAGCAGCAATGTAATATTTCAAATAGGTTTTTGAAATCATTCTTTCAAATTGTTCAATGAGCAGAATATGCATGTTGTTGCTAAAATTGTTTTGAAGGCCACCTGAAGCATTAAAAGCTTCTATTTTGTACTGTTTGCAAGCAAAAGTTGTTGGTCTTTTTTTTTTTTAAATAAGCATTTAAAAGTTTTGACTTCAGCGGTTTTGGCATTAACTTTTAATGAATAGCATTTGAATTTTTAATGGTCAGCAATCACAGCAAGATGATATTGTATTTCAGAAACTTTGTACAGTATGGTACCCATTTTATGGTATACCACTCAAACCTTACATAATAAGAACAATTGTAGGATTTTAGTGACATGCTGAGAAAAAGTAACTGAAGATCTTTCTTTGTATATCCTAACTATTTGTAGTTGTATTGCTTTATTTTATTTAGATTTTATAATAAATGGTATAACAATAAAAGTTAAAGAATTGAATAATCTGTTTAATTTTTTTAATGTAGTTACAGTAGTGACTGTAGCAAAAAAACCAAAACCAAAATCTAACAAGAATATACAAAGGTTGAGTGTAATAATCATATATCTATAAATAGAAGTGCCATAAATACGATTCCTGGGAATATTGTTTGGCGTTGGTTGTTACTAGATGCTTTTTTTGGGGTTACTCCAAGCCACTGTTCTTTGACTTAAAGATAAAATAATTCTGGCAAAGGACTAAAGAAGTTCTACTTTTTCCCTCATTAGGACTAGTGCTAATGGCATGCAGAACATTTCCCCTAAGGATACTCATATGAGCTCAAATGCTGAGTATAGTACTAATAATTGAACAATAACAAAAATGATGACTGTTTTCTTCACATTTCTTAAAGTACAGATTGTCCCAAGGGATAATTAAACAAGCAAACAAAGATACACTGAAATAACTAGTTAAAAAACAAAGGCAGACCAACTTTTGCACATTGTTATTGTTATCTTTTTGTGGTTACTTTTGAAGTATGTTTGCAATAAAAAAATATCTCTTTCCTCCTATGTAAAGGATACATATCCTTTGGAATATGTGAACAATTTGGCTTGAGAATTGAAATAGTGGTAGGCAAATGCAAGATTTATTTTGCACAGTAGTAGTTTTCGTTATTCTAATAAACCGCTTGAAAAGATAATTTTATTTAATAAGGGGAATTCCCATATACTTCAATGTAGTGTCTTACATTAAAATAAGACTCTTTCTTAATATAAATATCCTCTATCATGAAACATGTGAATAAAGTATGAACATTACTACTTAAAGTTGAATTTCGTTTTTGAATATTCTATGCTTGTTTAGTTGGCAATAAATCCTACCAAGTTCAATAGAAACTGTTTTGTAGTAAGTATGCATATGATTTTACCTCTATAGCCTTATATACATCGTCCATAATCCATAAAGCACTATTATGTATCACAGAGTATAAGAAGAACATACTCTAAAGATACAAGAACAGCAGAGGGAAATTGCCAATATAATTGAGCAGGAAATTGCCTTGTGTGTTTGAATTATAAGAACATAAAAATGGGATTTTATTAAGGTTTCATGAAAAGATGTCACACAGGTGCTTTAGTAAGCAACTCATGATCAGAATAGGAGAAAGAGCAGAAGACCTTTGAAAAGTGTTGTGGAACTGAAGAAAGATTTAGGCAAGGATATATTATGATAGAAGAGAAAAACATGAGTGATTTCTGAAAGTAAGCATTGTTATATCATGAAGAGGTTTGTGGAAGGGTATGCTATTTGTAAGGGAGAATGATAAATAGCCCAGACTGGATTAAGATTAGAGAATAAATTATAGAAATAGAAAAGAAATTACAGTCAGTTAAAGATTTTGTGGTGGCAGTGACAAACATGGCAGGTGAATCTGGGTCTTTTTAACAAAACAAAACAAATCAAGATACAAGTTGCTTACATCAAGAAATATTCTTCTGGTCACGTGACCCAGAGCAGAGCCTCTAAAAGGCTGGGGGAAAAAATCCAGAAGTCTGCTTTCCTGCCCTGTTCTTTTTCAATTCAGCATAATATTGGAAATGGTGTAATCTGGTTCAAGGCTGCCTCTGATTACATCCTTAGGAATCAGACTCCCTGAAAATAGAATCAATAGAATAGAATCAAACCTTTTTTTTTGTGGGGGTGGGGAAGCTGGCAAAAGAAAGATTGAGCATAAAAAGAACCTGAATCTGGGTAGAGTTTACAGAGCAAAACATTCCAGAAAATAATGGTGGAGCCCTACAAGAGAGACAGTTGGGCAGCAGATTGATTATTGCCAGCTGCTCCATTCTAAAATCTCCTTCCTTTAGTCATGTGACCAGAAGACCCTGCTCTGTTTTCCAGTACACACATACCAAACACAAAGATGTAAGCAGAACAAAATATAAATGCTTCCTACCATGACTTCTCTAGCGGCATTGGAAAGAATTCTAGAATCATACTCTGTGTGCTTTCCCTATTTGTTTATATGTTAATCTAATATTTTAAAGGGGCAGAGGGAGTTGGATAGTATAAAATGAGCACCTATTGATTCAATGTATCTTAAAGGTATCTCCATTCTAAATCCTCATTGCTAAGGAATTGTACAAAAGCTGCCTTATAAACGACTCACTTCCCAGCAGTGAGATTCCTAAGTATTTTTTTTTCTTGGAAACAACCCAAAACTAAAAGCAGGAAGATGATGTTGGATGAAATAATAATGTGAGATAGGATTTTCCCCCCCACCTTGGGGATTATTTGTGAAAGTAACGGATGTCCTTCCATTAAAACTACAATGTACTTAAAACATCCTTTTACCTGCTTAGCAAAGCCACCTTTTCTCAAGGTCTTGGGTCATTTTAAATGTTATTCCAAGCTGCTTTTTGTGGAGAACTTCTGAAAGGCACATATTTAATGTCAAACATTTATTGTAAGAAAAAAGATGCTGTTAAAATCTCAATGTAATCTAGGGACTAATGTGCATAGAATATGGACCATTATTTTTCTTTTAATTATGGGAGCAACTTGTAATGTTTATGCAACATCGCTGCCCACGAGCTGCATTGGTTTCCAATAAGTGTACGTAATGCAAGGCGCTGATTTGCTCTCAAAATATTGGCTTTCCACAGAAGGTAAGGGGTGTCATTTAAACACTGCTGTCTTATGGGACCTAGGAAGCACGCCTTTTCAGTGGCTGCTCTTGTTCTTTGAAACAGTCCCCCTCCTCCCACATGATATATAACTGGCCCCAACCTCCTGGCCCTTAAAAAGTGTTTCCCTCAGGAATTGGGGTCCAATTGAATAGAGCCCCATGTCCGTCTATTTATTTTTATCGTATACTGACAGTGTCACATTGTTTGATTTTGGTGGATACGTAAATGTTTGAAACAAACACATCCTGTTTTTCTATTTTTAATTCAATGCAGTCATGACATATAGCATTACTTATTATCGAATCAATCTCTCGCATTTTAAATTGTGTCTTATGTATGGATTATATCTTTAGAAAAATGTAAGGGCAACTATGAGTGAGCATCTTATCTATAGAATATAAAGATTCAGATAATTAAATGTGTATTTATAAAACCAAACTGAATAAGCTGAATTTTGTTATATTGCTTTTTAAGTTAAAGACCAGCATTTTTTTTTCCAGGAACTGAAAATACATACAGTAATTACATGCAGTAATTAAAAGCTGACATCCCTAAAATATCACTTAAACTCCTTTATTGTGGATCCCTACAGGATAATATATATATTATATATAATATTATAATATATTTTATATATTTCCATGTCAACCAGGTCTTCAAGAGTATGTGGAAGCTGTTTCATTTCAGTATTTTATCAAAACCCGGTCATTAATTAGCTTAGAGGTCATCAATAAACAACTGATATTTACAGAAGATAATAAAGAAGCAGAAAAGAAGGTACTATAAATAATCTTGTCTATACAATTAATCATTTCTAAATGGATATTATAAAGAATTGATATAGAAGGTGGGCAATACGCCAATGATGTGATCATGAAAAGTCTCCTTGGGTTCCCACTTCCTGCAAGTCGTCTTTTCTTCTTTTGTCTCCCCTTTTCAGAGGTGGTTTGAAAATCCTCACTTTTTTCTTTTGGGGTTCAGGGAAAAATGGAAGTTTGTATTTCTGTTATCTTTTTATTTTGTCACTTACTCCTAGCACAGCCTTGGGCTGTTTTCCTTGAAAATACAACTGAGACATAAAAATAATAATAATAGCAAAATTGGGAATATATTAGGAGTATGCAGCTGATATTGTGGTCCCATGACAGAATGAAGAAAAGGATTCTTTAGGGTAATGTCTGTAGTATTGGAAGCCTGACCTGCAAGAATTTCTTTTTCCAAATTTAATTCTTTTTTTTTTTTCATTTTGAAAGTTAGAATTATTTTTCCATTTACAAAATATATATGGATACTATATCTGGACTCTAAAATTACAGGAAGCTCTAATTCTTGTCTGCCATCCCACTGTACTCTGGCTTCCCTCATCAGCCCTTATATGGACTCTCTAGCTTCCCGTAGCTCCAGGCATTCCACCATGCAGCAGCCATGGAGTGTTAGGCTAGCCAACAGCTGCTTGCCCTTTGAATACCATCCTTCCATTACTTGTAGAGCTTGGCAGAAGGATTCTTAGCTTCTCATCTCTGTTCTAAAGGATTTTTTGCCTTTCAAACCTGGAATTTCTAGTCAATCAGATCTTGCTGCTTAAAAACTGCATATATCTATTCCAGTGTTTCCCAGTGTTTGGCCTTTAAGCTGTGTGGACTTCAATTTCCAGAATTTCCTAGCCAGCCAGCAAATTTCTACTCTTCTTTAGCCTCTTCCTCTATTGACTCATGTAAACTCCTCCCTGAAATTGACAAATTGTTGAACTTTCATGTACCTAAGTGTCTGCCAAAGTGATCCGTTTCTTGAGATATGGCAATCTCTCCTTCAGTTGATCCTTGGATAAAGAATGCATCTTGAGGATCTTGATAAATTTTATGGGTCTTTGTTGACTATGGAATTATTTTCTTAGTTCAGTTCATTAAACTGTGAAAGCAAACGGCAATATATATTAATTTATTACACAGTGATGGTGATAAATATATAGTAGTGGCAAAATAATTGTTTTCAAAACAGAAATAGTGCAAAAGTAGAAATAGAAGGTACACAGACACACATAATCATGTGCAGCTTCTCTTTGTTTTAGAGACTGGCATTTTGCCAGCTGAAGAGTTGATGAATATGAAGTTTCCATAAAAATATTGCAATCATTCTTTCCTAGCTGAACTCCTATTTCTTACTGTTTGGCTAGCCATAATGTAAGACTTACCTGGTGTGGAGATGATTTTTCACACCATGTAATTGTTGATGGCCCAGGAAATTTAATATGTAAAAAAAAAGCCTTGCCACCCAAAGTAGAGTTCACTTGGGACCAATGTATGCAATGTATGCAAGAAGGAAAGCCATCCATAAAAAAGTTCCAAAACAAAGCCACATCTTTCTAATATTGTTTTTGTTAATTTCCTGAATTATGTTTTGCAAATTGAACTTTCTCTCTGTAATAAGTTGTTTTGTATTCTGTTGTATTACTAGCCATCTTTGGATTCTCCTAATAAGGAAAACAACACCTGGAACATAAAAGTGACACCTGTGGATTATCTTCTGGGAGTGGCTGATCTAACTGGAGAATTGATGCGGATGTGTATTAATAGTGTTGGCAATGGTGATATAGATACTCCATTTGAGCTGAGTCAGTTCCTGTGTCAGATTTATGATGGCTTTTCTTACATTGGTAACACTGGACCGTATGAAGTTTCTAAAAAGCTCTATACTTTGAAACAGAGCTTAGCTAAAGTGGAGAATGCCTGTTATACCCTGAAAGTCAGGGGTTCTGAGATACCAAAGCATATGCTAGCTGATGTATTCTCCAGTAAAGCAGAAATAATTGACCAAGAGGATGGGCTTTCTTAAGCATGCTGGGAACCTCGCAACACACAAGATCAAGAACTACAGGATCAGAGCAAAGCTAAGCCCTGGATTTGCTTATCAGAAATCTTAGCCATAATTCATGGTTTATGAATAGCTGAAGTAGAATATGTTGTATTCTAAAACTGTTATTGTGTAATGATTTAAGATGTCCGCCCCAGCTTATTGCCCAGTGAAAATGTTGATTTTATACAGGGACCACTTCTTATATTCTCTACTTCAGTATTGTGGGCATACTGCAGGTTATTTTAAACCAGGTGCCAGTGAAGGACCATTATCCATAATATACATGTAATATGATAACAATTTGGTTCATTGTTGCTCTTATTTAAGTTGTTAAAATCTTTGACGGTTCAGAATGTTCTGGTGTTAAAATTTACATGTTGGTTTTTAAACAACTGAAGAGAAATAATTGAATAGGAAAGAACCTAGAAAAAGCTAACAGGTTTAGCTTAGATTATTCTTTGGGTACTTTCATAGTATATCTTTTTATGTATATTCGTGTTGACTTTTTATAGGTAAGTTAATACTAATATCTTGCAAATTAAGCCAAGCAAAAGCAGATAACTTGTAAATTTTTTAGCATAAATAGAATCAGTGGGTATACCCAGTTAAAGTATACTCAGTGGAAGGATTTGGAAGATAATGCTCAAGAAAACGAACAAGAAAAATACTTGAAATATGGTTTAAAACTGAAGTTGACAGAATTTGTAAATTATGTATCTGTCCTATGTATGTTCTTTAAAGGATTATGATATTGTTTTGTGTATTTAGTTAATCTCTTGCTTCAGATTCTTGATTAGTGACTCCAGCTTAGACTTTAACTTCCTTTCTGTGAACAGAATAGAATTAAATTTATAGAACAGGCTTTCCTGCTTCCCTTTTCTCTGTGTAGCCCTGTATCTCTTGTAAATCTGTTCCTGAGAACAGGGAACTCTTGAGCATGGTGTGGAATAAATTATAAAGGACCTGGTTGGTAGAAATTCCTTGTACAAATGTAAGAATTCAGGATCCAAGTCATTGTGTTCTGGGGGAAATGTAAACAAAAGTAGGTGAGGATCCAGGCTCTCCACTATACACAAACACATTAAATTTCCTACCACAGTTCTTCCATGTTTTTATATTGCCGATATTTAGCATGGCCTATTTTCAGATACATGATATAGTACAGCAGTATTTTGTCACCTTTTTAAGAATCACCAGATTTCTCATGTGTTAAAATTTAGAAAGCAGTCTTTTCTTCCCCTTGTAAGGCTTAATGATGTTTCTACATTTTTATATAATAAACAAAGGCATCTTGTAAAAGTATTACTTGTTTGGCATTTGTTTTTTCTGACATTTTTTTTTCTTATCATGCTTTAATGAAAGGAAACCATTTCTTCCCTGATACTTTTCAGTTTGCCACATAGTAAACGTGTATGTAATTATTATTTTTTGCACAAAAATTAAAATTTCTAGTTGTAATATTGCTCTAAATGTTCATAATTTTGGGTCAGCTTGCATTCGAGATAAAAGAGGTATTTGAAGTTCATTGCTTGTTGAGTTTGCAATACATTATTCGGAGAGATCAAAAGAAAAACTTTTGTTTGATCTTTAATGGGTCAGAGGCATCCATGGGTCCTCCTTTAGCACTTACAAGGCTGCCTGATGGAAGTTTTACCCCATCCCCACAGGGATGGTGGCAGTGGCCCATTGCAAACAAAATGTCAAAACTTAGCATCTTTACAGAAATGCCTCTGTATGGCCTCTCATAGATCCCATAAGCAATATTAGATATGAAAGTGATGGGTAGCTGCAATCAGGTGCTTTGTTTTGAAATCTGTCTTTTATCAGAAAAAAAACCAATAGTGTGCTGTGGAGAAAAATGCTGTTTTGGGATCTAAAGGGTGTAATGATCAGTCGCTTTGTTAATTTGTTTTCTGGAAAATGTGTTTTATATCTTGATACATCTACCGTACTCAAACATCCAAATTGCTCGCTGACTCAAAAAGTTGTTCTCAACTATTAGGTTATCTGAAATACATTTATTTAGGCCGTAGTTAGTTGTCTAGGCATAATTAACCATTGCTTTTCTGAATCTGATGTTCTCTAGATGTGTTGCATTAAAAACTGATCAGTCACAGTAACATGGCTAAAACATGCTGGACAGGTACTGCAATCTACTACGTAGGAGCCACCAGATTGAGATTGGTAATCTAAAACCTATGTAGAAATTGAGAAATTCAAATTGTTCTCTGAAGTGATGAGCAAACATTCTTTATGGAACGATGTGGTCTTTGGAAAAAGAAAGACAATATATAGAATGACCTGTCTATGGAGATTCTCAGTCATCCAGGTCATGGTTGACCCTTTTGCCAAAACTGGATTTTGTTTCCTTGAAGATTTTTTGCTTCTCATCCAAGAAGCTTCTTCAGTTCTGACTTCTGAACCTTCTTGGATGAAAAGTGAAATTTCTTCCAGGAAAAACAAAGTTCAGATGCCTTTTGAAGGATGTAGGATTATCTGAAAAAAATTGTTCCATATATATTGCTTATGTTTGATTATTGCCTGCATAGCTGTAAAATATTCTTAATGCTGTCCATTCAATCTATTCAGGAGTTTCCATAATACAAGTTGATCACTATTACTAAGAGCTATGGAAAAGTATCAAGCTTTCCTCAAAATACACCTGTGACATATGCCTACATCTGAGGCCAAAATAATGTTTGAAAGAAAGTGGGTCTTTAAAAATAATTTTTGAAGTTCTTAATAAACATATAAAAGCTAAGTCAAACTAAATAAGAAAATAGAACAATAAAAATGCAGAAGATTCGGGAAAAAAATAGCAGAAAAATATATAACAAAAGTAATAATAAGGGGTTTCGGACTTTCACACCAACCTTTTCACCCCTTTTTGACGTTACAAACAATAAAAAAGTCCTTATAGCTTTTCATCAATGCACAACCCCAAAACCAGCTTTTTGGTCCTAATTCAGCAAAAAGTTCCTTAGGAGTTCCTATGAATGTGAAACAAATGTTTTATCCCAAATAGTCAAATAGTCTGACTTTTTATTCCTCTTTCCTGTGCACAATCTTGACATTTAAGCCATTCCAATGGCATCCCAAGATCTCATCTTTTATCACTCTTTGGTATTTAAAAGAAGACTTCAATGCTTTTACAGACCTACTTTGTGAATCCTATTAAGAGGCATATAAAATTTGCTTTTATTCTTTTTTCCCAATTTAACTTTTTTATTTATTGAATTATAAAATACAAAGGAAAAAAAACAGAAGTAAGAGAAGAAGGGAAAGGGTATAGTGTAACAGGAGGAAAAGAAAAGAAAAAGGCCACTTCCAACTCTTTGGCACAGTCAAAGGTAACAATATTACAACCACAAGTTTTTGCTTTTACACAACAGTATGTACAAGCTATTTCTATAACAATAAGCCTGTCTAGTTTACAAAAACAGAATCAAGTTTTAACTTTTACTGTCTAGTTCTTTAGATACTCTAGTGTCGATTTGTAACCATCAAGCCCCAGTTCCTGAAGTTCTGCTTCAGTTGTTTCCTATGAGTATTATTTATTTTTCTTTTTAAGAAGAGACTGGACAGCCACTGTCTGAAATGGCATAAGATCTTCTGCAAGGGATGGATTAGAAGATCTCCAAAGTCCATTCCAAATGTTATTATTCTGTTAATTACCATGTTTTTCAGGACTATAGGTCACACCTTGGTTTAGAGGAGGAAAACAAGAAAAAATAGTTTTTTGCCCCAGCGTGTCCCATTTTTGCCTCCCTGGCGTCCAGAAGCACTCTGCAGGAGGCCTCCGGAGGCCTCTGCGGGTCCTGTTTTCAGCCTTCCTGATGTTGGAGAGGGCAAAACCTTGACCCACAGAGGTTTTGGGAGGGCAAAAACGGACCTGTTTTTGGCCTGCAGAGTGCTTCTGGATGCTGGGGAGGGCAAAAACGGGATGCACAGAGGCTTTGGGAGGCCCAAAATGGGTCTGTAATTGCTGTGTAAGACGCACAAACATTCCCACCCACTTTTTTTGGGGGGGGGGGAGTTCATCTTACAGTCCGAAAAATTCAATATATACTTATTTTTCAAATCTTACAGCAAAATAACATTTCAAATCTCTATGGTCTCCCAATCTGTTTAAAGCTTTTTAAAATCCAAATTCTCTTTTGCTTTTTACCAATTGTATGTTATTTTAATTTCTTAAATCTTATTTAAAGCTTCCTAAACCTAAATAAGGTAAAACTCAAGCTTTCCAGTTTAAAAGTCTCTCAAGTGGTTCAATTCAGTATTTTTGAATGTGATTAGAAAGCGAGTTTGGGTGACTTAGTGTCCTTATTACAGACTCGGTCATTGCTGAGAACAAAGATGTTATCTCCCTCAGATCCTGATGCTCAAACCCATGGGAGACAGCTGTTTTTCGGTCTTGCGAGAAGCTGCCATTAAGAACAGTTATAGGTGACCTCCCAATCTCTTCTCTGGAGAGATACAAAAGACTGATCTATTTGCCAGTCTTTCATTGTCCATAGCAGTTTCTCCACACATTAGCATAATGACGACTCTGCCATGACTCGCACTGGGAGGTGAAAGTGTTTTGGTAAACACATTTCTAAAATGTTTTCCAAGGGAAGTCATGAAATTCTGAGCCCTACCCAGTTCAGCCATCAGGGCAATACCAGAAGGTCAAATCCAGAAGTTCAGGCAATTAGATGGCTGGTACACAAAAAAGCTCTTCATCTTATTTCTGTTGTCCAACTTAACATAAAAGCTCTCACATCTCTCACCTCAAAACAGAATCAGGGAAGATCAACACCCCTTTTCTTCCCTAACATTGGCATCTTGGCTGTTTTAGGATCTGACATGTTGGAAAGTAGATTTCTGACAGGATAAGATCCTTACCCTCATGCAACTAGGTTATGGGAAGAGTAGTGCTGCTCAATTACTTGCTACCTATTCATAGAGGAACATGGATTTTGCTTTCATCAGCTTTTGATCAAGCCCAACAGCAATCTTACAATCAGGATCTTTGGAAGAGTACATCCAGAAAAGACTAAAAACAGATTTTTTTTTAGTAAATGTATGTATATATT